AACATAGCGGTCCTCAAAGCCACTATAACCCATGCTGTCGGTCAAATTCAGCAAATAGGTCTTTTAGACGAATAGAAAATAAAAAATTTGGATATCTCATACACACACGCTTTGTTTTATTCAAATTTAAAAATAAAAAGCACTTGGTGAAAGACCCTCTAGAAATAATTATTTCAACAGAAGTTATTAAAAAAAAATATGATCACTTTTTTATAATCGCAATTTTTCCGTTTCAGGAATGTTATGATAGATTATTATTCAAAGTTGATAGAAATTGCCGACAACAGGAAGTCAAAAATAGAAACGAATGTTAAAAAAATCAAAAGTATCCAAATAGAACAAAATTCATTGACAAAAGATAAGGAGCATTTTGAATCAACAGATAATTTGGGAGAGAAATCAAACAGTTCGTCTGATAGTTTTTATTCAATACCGGAAGATAAAAATGATGATAAAGTTGAAGTGGAAAATATGGAAACTGAAAGTGACCGGCCGGAAATTAATTCTCCAGGGTCTCTAGATGTCATCAATGCAAATGCCGACACTCTGAAAAGCACCAACGAACCCAGTGACAAAATCATCAATTCAAACCATTCTAGAAATATTCAAGAAGCAATAAACAACTTCGAGATGGCCAGAAAAAATAAGTACAAGGTCATGACTCAAGAGATGGGTATCGATTTCATACAAAAGAAAGAAAAGACTACGAGTATTCATAATGCAGCGTACCTTTCTGACGCCCAGAGAAACAAACTCAAAATATTGTCTACAGAGTTTGGTTTCGACATCAAACCTGATTACGTGAAAACAAACCAAATAACTACTATTTCCATGTACAACAGAAATAAAGTTATGGGAAGTAGCGATTGTTTCGCTGAGAAATATTTGGATAACGAAAATTTTGTCAATAGAAACTTGGCAAGTAATGAAGAGAGTAGCGTGAAGACAGGACCTATTAAAAAATCGAAATCGTTGATGCTGGATTTCGACAAGGTAAATATTTTTTCAGCGAGAAGTACCACAATTTGATAATTGAGTTTCTGTCTGAATTGGACAAATGTTTTTTCTCAAGTTGTAAATCAGTTGCTGTGCTAATGAATTAAGTACCGTGTAAAATATCAAAACAACTCATCCTGTAGAAAGTATAGATAATTCAAGTTCTGGGTGGAACATTTTGTTTCTCTATTCCCTACATGAAAACCAACAAAATGGTTCCTGTTAAATCCAACGGTTGACTTAAATCTTTCTGAAAAATTGCAAAAACAAGCTCTGACTCAGGTCTATCCTGTTTCATAGAATGACAGTAAACATTATGTCGTTCTAACTCACTTTGGGATCTTACTAATAATATCGCTCGTAAAAAAAACAAACAATTGGACGTAGGCTACAGAACAAAAATAATTTGAGTAAATTCATGAAAAACAATAAAGATAAAACTACAGAATCGGATAAATCGGGAGTATATAAGTTGACTTGTGATTCTTGTGCAAAATTCAATATAGGCCAAACCGATTGAAGTTTCTCCAAAGGAATAAAAGAGCATAGATGTAGTTTTTTTCAATGGGAAGACCAATTCAACATTTGCGAACCATTTTTTGACAGAGGAGTACGAGTTCAATCACGATTATGACGCATTGCATTTGGAATAGAAAGGTTCAGAACTCAACTTTTTGGAATGCTTAGAAATCAGTAGATTTGAAAATTCAGGATTATTGCTCGATGATCAAAAGATTTGAATTGTTCCCTTTTATTGAATTCAGTTGACAATGGGGAAATTGTTAAGGGGTCGTTTAAGTATTACGCAACGAAATTTGGGGTGAGGGGGGTCTTGTAAACTGTTACGATGCGTTAGAGGGGCGGGAGCGGGTTCGAACAATGTGTTACGTAACATTTATTTTTTATCCAAATATAGAACTAGGAAATTAAAGAGTCCCAAGTTGGCTAACCTTATCGTTTAATGTTTAACGGAGAATTCCTCGACTGTATTGTATGTTATTTTTATTTTGTTTAAGTTTTCAGTATTCATCATTGTTTTAAATGCGTAATGCGAAGAAGCATATTATTGGAGTGATCATCGTACTTGCAACAATGTATCTTTTTCAAGCATATTTTATTCATTGTCAAAAAATCACGTTTTTTTAAATTTAAATTAAGTACCTTTAGTACAGAAAGTACGTTATTTAAATCATAGATGATTTTATTTTTTATTTAATTCGAGAGTAGGTACTATAACGAATTTGAAGCCGGCCCTGACCGATATCTCAGCCAGCGAATAAACACATGACTCACTGCGAACCGCCGCGAAAAGTATAGATGAGTACCGAAACCACTAGCGAAATCTAGAGCGATCGTTACCGATATAAAAGGCCGGCTTCTCGTCCAGAGATGGTAGTCGAATTTAGAAAGAGAATCAAGTGGTTAAATAAAGAATTCAAGTAGTGAAAATAAATTAAGTGCTACGTGTTGTAAATAAATTAGTTTGCGTTAGTGAAATATTGAAAGAAATAAATTTGTTTGAGACAGTAAATTCTTCAGTTCGTTACAGTACGATATATTTTACTTCAGTTGCCTTTCAGTTAGTTAGGTTAAATTAAGTATGTGATTTTATTTTCAAAGTTTATTAGTGATAATAAAGCTGAAATGAGAGAAAGCATGAGAGCCAAATGAAGCCAAAAATGTATGTGAGGACGAAGTCATATCAAGGAAAAGGCTCAATTAAATGTTAGATTAGTAGTAAAAGTATATCAGTTGAGCTTATTTTAACATACTTAAGTAAATGTTAATTATTATGTGACTGTTAAATAACAATGTGAATAAAACAAACAATATAAGAATTGCCTATAGTTATTAATCTTTTGTTTCATTCATTATTACCGCAAACACAATTTTAACAATTACAAAGATATTTTAGGGACTTGCCAGTACTTTGGTCAATATAATTGTGACTTTTGGACAAAAATGGTCATACTTGAACGGCCCCTAATTAGGACAGACCTTAAAAGTAGGTAAAATGAGGGCTTAGGGAAAACTTCTCTAGTTTAATGAGTTGTTCCTGGAAAGGTATATATCTCATGTAATGAATTTATCAGGTAGAAATAGTCATTAGGATTCAAATTTCTATAAAAGCATAACACAGAATTAGTTTAGTCAATATTTTGACGTCTGATGATGCTATTGTATAGCGAAACACGTATCGCGTGTTTTTTTAGTACATTAATCAAAGTAGCTGAAAATCAAATTAGTATTTGAAGCAGCCTATATTAATTTCAGATCTTTTGAGGAAAAGCTCAGTTACACTCATTTCATTCAGAGCTCCTGCATCACTGCCTATATTTTTTTTTTAAATAACATCTCGGCAACTACATTACAACTACTTCATCTACATTAGATAAAGTACATGAATTATGTTTATATTAGGCTTGCCTATCTGGAAATAAAGTTCTTCTTCTTATCCCATAATGGCTGAGCTTCCGAAGCAGTGTTTTATGATCAACGCAATCGAAAGCTTTCGAGAAATCACAAAACACTGCTGCAACAGCCTTGCCATCATTTATGCTAGAGAATGCGTTCTCTAGAAAGGAGCAATTGGCATCTGTGGTATTTTTCGAACTTTGAAAACTGAACTGAAGGCTAGATGGCGTATTGTTCATCGATAAAAAGGAAATTAGTCTTTTTTTCACTAATCTTTCAATAATTTTTAAAAGGGTCGATAATAAAGAAATGAGCCTGAATTTTTAGGGGTTTCCAAATTTCCCCCCTTATGTAATGGAATAACCATAGCTATTTTCAAACATGTGGGAAATATACCATACCTGAATGATTTATTAATGCGTTCGACCAAAACATGTGATGCACTAAGAGGTAGATTTTCAAATATTTTTACAGACATTCCATCCACACCCGCCGAATTTTTATTTTCGATTTCATTGATTATCTGTATAAGCTCATGTATCTGTACAATTTTCAACAACATTTAGATTTTTAAGGTATTCCAAGGGGTCACAGCTGGCTTTTATGTTCTCTTTTAGTTTTTCACCAATAGAGCAATAGAAATCATTGAGTTCTTTTTGGAGCCAGGTTAGTTTTAATGGGATTGGCCTTAATTAACTTTTTTAACTCTGTTATGTGAAGAATGTTGACAATACTCATCAAAAATTATGTTTGACTGACTATTTCAACTTGTAATGCACTGTTTGGAACTCTTGGTGTAATAATGAATATAACTGAAGGTTTTTTCCAACACCAAACCGTTATTTTAACACCTCGACTCAACACATTTAATCTTCCTCTTGAAGATGATCACCTGGTGATCGAAACACGTGTCGAAGTGTTAAAATAACGGTTTGGTGATGGGAAACAACAAAGAAATATTAATTGAATGTTTCAAATAAATTTCAGGTGAGTACCAGATCTGCAAAATCAGATACAGACAAGCAAATTCCAATGTCTGTCGACTCAACTCCAATGAGTGAGCTTCCTCATAGCGTGGGAACACCTAGCACCATGTTCCTCAGCATCGACACCAATCAACTGGAAAGTATTCCAAATACAGCAGAAACTCACCAGACGGATGAAGGTTTCAAATTCGATACAATCAAAGAACAATCCATCGATCCGATATACTATAACCGCAAAGAGATTAGTTTGCAGAAAGCTGTTTTTTCCAAAAGAGTTACCAAGAAACAGGCATCAGGGGTTTCGACAAATTGTTTGCGATTATTTTTGCATGAATCTGTCCAAATCCCTCTCCTGACTCAGACTAAACTGATCAACGATGAACTCTTGAGGTACTTTATAAATGACCTCCAGTATTTGCAACATCTGATGAGCCTGAGAGATTATTTCTTTATGCAAGACGGCGAATTTGGTAGAAACATCACAGAAAATTTGTTCACAAAGCTTTACGATGCAAATTTTCCTGCTGAACTGATAAACTGCCGCATTTTGCAAGACTTAGTCTTCGGGGCACTGGATATGTCGTATAAGAATCAGACTAACTCGCAGTGTTTGTCATTCAAGATCAATAGTATGCCGAAATGTTTCGATTTGGGAAATCCAGATGTGTTGGATTGTTTATCTCTGACTTACAAGGTTAAATGGCCTCTGAATATTCTCTTGCCTACCGATACCATTGCCAAGTATGATGAGGTGTTTAAATTCCTGTTGAAACTGAATAGGGTCTCCTGGGTTCTCAAGAAAACTTTTTTGGTAAGCTTTCAACAGTTATATACAGCCAAAGCTACTGAACCTAAAATCTTGAAATATCTGTTAGGAATCACACGTTAAAAGATAAGACCTCGTTAGTCCTTAGCTCGCACAAGTTTCTCAACTTCTGAGAATTGTCGTTCGTATCGGGGCGACAGCTGATTAACGAAAAAACAGTTTTTTCTTAACAGACAGATGCAGGTAGGTTCTTTGTATAGCGAAAATAAGCATCGAGAAAGAGAAAAACAGATTTTTAACAGACTTTTCAACAGATAATATCGATCATGTGTTTCAACCATTTCTTGAGTTCCGAATTCAAATGATTTATTGACATATTTCAACAGATATATTGATCATGTGTTTCAACCGTTTTTTGAGTTCCGAATTCAAATGATTCATTGACATAACTTCTCCTTTTTTTCCAGGAATTGAAAGTGTTAGCCAAAGAAACAGGTAAAAAAGAAATTTACCTCATGTCATCACCACAGTATAGAAAACTACATCAGTGCCGTCATGTCATGACCCAGTTTGTTCAAACGTTACAGAATTATGTTGTGGGTGAAGTGTTGCAGTCCAGTTGGACGTTGTTCGAAAAGAACCTGGAAGGTGTTTCTAGTATCGATGAGCTGTATTCTGCGCACACGGCATATATAAAAAATATTCTCTTCATGTAAGTCGGGAATCAATAACTTGGACTGATTATACTTTCATTGTTTCGATATTTATTTTTTGAGCTCATTCTGTTTATTCATTTGAATAATAAATTAACCAGTTTTATAAAAAAAATAAAATAGTCCAACCATTTGCGGAAAGTTTAGATCGATTGATTATTAGTGATGAAATACCTCTATCCTGATAGAGGTATTCCATATGAAACTCTTACCATAACATTCAATATTGAAAGTCTTGAATTACGCAGAAAACTTGCTTGAATAATGTTTCTGTATAAATTACTGCACAATGTGCCTCATTTTAGAAATATAAGTACAAAAACTTTTACAGCCGACTGGCCAGAACCAATTTGTACCTCTAGTCATCTATTTTAAGCATTTTTAATAATTTCAATTCAATTTCAAATTTGTATGATATCAATTTTGTGGTTCTGGCGTTGAATTTGGTCATTATTACGCCTTGGAAGAAACGGACTGGTTTAAGTTTGACGATAGCCCTGTCACGAAGTGTTCTGGTGATGCATTGAATTTATTGGGGCCTCTGGAGACACCCTACATTTTGTTTTACCTTATCGTTTAATGTTTAACGGAGAATTCCTCGACTGTATTGTATGTTATTTTTATTTTGTTTAAGTTGTCAGTATTCATCATTGTTTTAAATGCGTAATGCGAAGAAGCATATTATTGGAGTGATCATCCTACTTCCATATAGTTTTTTTATTTTGTCATTATATTATAACTTTGTTATTCATTTTCTCAAATTGTAACTTTGTAATTATAAGGATCTATATCACTTTTTTACCATACTTAGTTAACATACTTTTTAACTGTTGGGTAATTAAGGCTGTTATTATTATTGCAAATTGAAGTTAGTAAATGTTTGGGATATGAATCAGTCATGGATTGAAAGTTACTGGAACTTTCTAAAGAGCATTTTTTTTTTATTATTTGTTTTGATTTTCTGCTGATATTATATAAAGAAATCGTTTTTTTTTTTCAGGTGCTTACTGAACCAAAAGACTGTAATCTTGAGGAATGTTATCCACAAAACATTCATGGTGATTTTGAAGTTTTTTGATTATTTGAGGTCAAGAAGTTGGATTTGTGAAAATGGCTCTTATGTCCATCCCAATTTCAACAAACTGGAAAGTATTTTCAAGAACTTCCAAGAATTTGTTCTATATTTATTCAAAGTGGGTCGTAAAGTAGCAAAATGTGGATACCAACCACATTTATCGTTATTGTTAGAAATGCTCGATATTAATGAATATTTCTCTGAATCTCTCAAACGTTCGTCTAATTAAAATCACTGTTTTGTTTGACTTTTGCTTTATTGGCACAAAATTATTAATAAATGTGATAACTATTTATTGTTAAACAAATTACAAATGTTTTTACTTTGGCGAATAAATGTTTTTTAAAATACAAATACATTTTCTTTCTAATTGTGTTGAGATTCCTTAATTGAATATAGTTTTTTGTTCATTTTCTTGTGACTAATGGAAAAAATTATACTTTCAAGTAATTAATTGAAAATAAAATTGTCTCTATAGTATCAGTTAGGAGAGTGATATAAGAGGCACATACTAACCTAAAGAACTACAGTTAATTTTCACATTTCCCTATATAGTACGTGACAACAAGCTCACAAATGAGAGCCTTTTAAAGCATTCGTTCCAGAAATGGGTTTGTCCGTTTTTGTGAGTCTACTTTGAACTATATATAATATAATTGTGAATATTTCTTCAATTCAATCGGAGCAAGCGTAATTTGAACCAGTGCACTTTTGCCAACGTAACACAAGTCAATGGATTCCGACGGCATAAAAATTGTAGAAGCGAGATTCGATGAAGTCGACGAAGGCCGTTTTTGCCTGGTCCTGATTGGCGAAGGGATCAAAACCTCTATACACAGTGGTGATTTCTGAATTAATGTCATTTTTAATAGTCAATCAATGTTGTACAATAGTTAATCGAAAAAAATCTCTAGACAAACATTTCTTCTAGTTACAAAACTAAGTCCACCGTCGAAAACATGCAACTATGAATTTGAATTTCCTCAATTTCATGGAATGGCCAATATTTGTATCATTTATATTCCATGGAAATATTTGTTTAATTTAAAATAACCACCTATTTTTCAAATACCGATTTTTTTAAACATTAATTTATGTGATAGCTGAAACGATATATTTCACGAACATATTTCAGAAGCTTTATGAAAATTGTTCATTCTGAATCTGGAAAATAACAAGTGGCAACAATGTATAGCATACTTTTTGTGTCAAATTTCAAAATGAAAATAACCTCAATTTAATCATACTCCATCTCCAAAAGTTTGTATTTAACATTCTAAATAATTTTTGCGGTGACTGCAGAGTCCATAATGAATATTTTTTACAAAAATTGTGAAGGACTCCTGAAAACAATTCAAAGCCATAAACCACTTTTGAGTAATGTATTGCACAAAAACGCATCTGTTTACAAAAGTTCAATAAGCTTAGAAAAGCTCTACCCAAACAGCAGTTTGAAACTAACAACGCCTCAGGTAAGATTCCAACAGCTTCACACATCAATTCTAAAAATACTCATGTTCATTTTAGCCACCAAAAAGTGAATTGTTCAACGGCTACATTCCAGTTGAGCAACTTGAAATAACATATAGCAGAAGTACAGGTCCTGGTGGCCAAAATGTTAATAAAGTTAATACAAAAGTAGATGTTCGGTTTCATCTACAGTCTGCGGCATGGCTTAATGAAGAGGCAAAGCAGAAACTGTCTGAAAGGGTATAATCATATATGTCTTTCAGTTTATCCTACCAATTTCAATAATGTGTCTGTTGTGTTGAATTTAATCCCCTAATGGTTGGTTCATTTTCAATTTCAGCTGAGACAGAAGTTGACAAAAGAAGGTTATTTGATATTCAGGTCTGATTTAACAAGATCACAGCATTTGAATTTAGCTGATTGTTTGGAGAAGATTCGAACTGCTGTGAGAAATTCTTTGGTAGAAAAATCAGAGCCTTCTCCAGAAACAGAAGAAAGAATTAGACGTAGACTGGAGAAATCTGCAAGGGAAAGATTGATAATTAAAAGACATAAATCAGAAATTAAGAATGATAGACAAGCACCAAATGTAATTATGTAAATGTACTGTAGGAGATGTTATTATATAAAATTTGAATCTAGTTCAAGTGAATTTTTTGTTTGGAAATACCTGGATATGAATCGCTTCCTTGGGAGATTGTTAAAAAACTTTAGCTATATACTAAAGCATACTTCAAATTGTAGAATGAGTTACAATTTTTTCTTGATAAAAATGATTAAACAATTTCACTAACAGATTTTTGAGCCCCCCCCCTATTGATTATTAAAATACGTGTCTTCTCTTTCCATTGGAAAACGGCAGCATGTAATTAAGTACACTGCATGTTGTAAATCAAGAAATTTAAAAAAACTTCAGTAGGAGATAAAATAAACTAATGAAGGATTTTAAATGTTCACCACTATTATAGTTCCAATGTTTCCGATAGGTGTCACATTATGATTAATAAAGTTACTTATCCCTGGGCATCAATAACATTTGTTTTTATCAAAAACAAAGTTCGTCGATGGCAGTTATTTATAATGAAATTTTTTTCATAATCTGAAGTCATAATACAAAATTGCAAGCGTAAATAGAGTGAATAATCGAGAACAGAAATCACACATATGTCTCATTTTTAATAAATATTTCAATTCCAACAAGTACTTCACTTGAAAATATTTTTTCCACACCAGCACAGAAACTGAATAAATAGGCCACTGAACTGTTTTAGTACTTGACTGAACTTGTGTTGCACTCTTTGGAACCTTTGGTGTAGTACCTAATGAATATTACTGGAGTTTTTTACAAACACCAAACTGTTATTTTAAGAGGAAGATCTTCCTCTTGAAGATGATCATTTGGTGATCGAAACACGTGTAGAGGTGTTAAAATAACAGTGTGGTGCCAGGAAAAAACTCCACTGAAATATATATTACTTGATTGAACTTTAGAATGGATATATATGCATAAAAATTTAGATTATATTCAATAGCAAATACAGCTAACACTAAAACATGAAATGTTTTCTTTTTCCAACTGGAATACGGTCTTTTGTGGATTAATAGAATAGTTTGAAGAAAAAAATTAAGAAATGTATTTCACTGTTTGAGATTTATGGAGCCAATATCAGTTATTTCAACCCATTAATGTCTTCAGATTCATAAATATTCTATTTTTGATCAAGAAATATATTGGTTTCATGAGAAGTTGTAATGTATCTTTTTGAAACATATTCTTAAACATCGGGTTGTTAAAAATGAACAATAAAACGTAGAAAACTGGGTGAACATAACCACAGAATACTATTCTGTGGCATAACCCTGAATCGTGACGGTTGACAGTGGCGGGCAGTGTTGCCACTGACCCGGTAATTACCAGGATCGTAGGTAATTAGAGGTTCTTCCTGCTAATTTTCCAACAAAATTTATTTTGGGTAATCGAACTCATGGTGGGGTAAACATTCTGGAATTATTTTGTACGATACGATTGAAAGTTATGATGGAGATCTTGATTGCCAACAATTAAATAGAAAACATGGTCACTACTTAATCCTTATCAAATCCGATAATCGCTAATAGTGCTACTTGCATATTTTATATCGAAAGATTGGAAATACACTAATTGTGCATGATTTCCGGAGTTTTTCCAAAATAACTTGCTGTTGCATGTATCAATAGTCAAGTTCAGCTATTCATTTACTCATTTGCGGCTTTTCAATTTGATAATTTTTCCAAATTAATACATTTTGTATCAATCGACGAGGAGATTGACTTTCAAAGCAAAATAATTCATTCTATCACCACACATTTTCATCAGAAAGCGTCGAATTTTTGAAAATGTTGGATCCTGGCAAAAATCGGGTAATATCAGACAAACTTGTAGGTAATTTATCATTGGCAACACTGATGACAGAAAACGTACTAACAGGCTTTTTTGTGTTTCCAAAACGAGATTCGTGTTTAATATAAAAAATTTGAAAGAATGGTTGCTGGGAAATAGTCGGATCGTTTGAAAAGAGGACCAAAACGTTTATTCAATATCCTATTGCTCCTCTGAGAATTTATTTTCAGGTTTTCAACATGAGCGAAGCGGTTGTAGAATCGAGTTATGTGCCCTACACTTCACCATTCCAATTTGCCGAAATGAATTTTGAGAAGTCTGCTCTAGAATTAGGAAGAGCCCAATGGCCAAATTATAACGATCAACATTACCTTCGCGGATGCAAATGGTCTCCCGACGGCACATGCCTGCTCACGGTTGTTCGAGGAGCAGGTATGCATGTAATGGAGCTTCCTTCCGATTTGTTTATTGGCCTAAGTGTTCAAACGAGTAGACCGATAGTGCCTTTAGTACCTGCAGTTAGTGTTCCTGAAGGAGGCCTCATTTATGATTATTGTTGGTACCCTGGAATGAATAGCGGTAATCCAGCTACTTGTTGGTGAGTTTGAATCAACAATAACACTCACGAGACAATTACATAAGGCTGATTTATTGAATAAGTAATGCAACATCAATCGTATGCTGGCGTAGTCATTAACTTGAAGGACAAATGTTCATTTCATAGATCACCAACAGTTAAAAGCTGTTGAGAAGAAACATAATAATCTTTTACACAAGTTGTATTTGCAGAGTGACATATATGAATGATTATAAATTATTTTTGAATTTTATGTTTCTGAGGAATGATCGAGGGTAACTTTATCTTCATGTTACTTGATTTATGATTCCAGCAAAACACCTAAAACATTGTGATATCATACACTTTATTTAGTTTATGCCTGAAATAGATGCCAATAAAAGAATCTCTCCAATTTTCAGTAGATGTATTCATCACTCTTGTAGTGACTCGTCTTTTTAATTATTTTTCAGTTGGTTGTCCAGTGGCCACGGAGGGCCAATCCACCTTTGGGATGCCTTCTCAGGAGACTTACGATGTACATATAGAGGCTACAACAATCAAGACGAAGTTGAACCAGCAATTAGTGTAACATTTTCTGCAGATGGTCAAAGTATATTTTGTGGTTACAAGAAGAACGTTAAAATTTTCAGTACTGGTCGACCAGGAAGGGACTACGTGGAATATCCGTCTGCCCATCAAGTATCCTGTCTTGTGACTAGTCAGGCTCAGCCAGGGGTGGTAGCTATAGGTAAATTTGGGTGTGAAAAGTTGTTCCAGTCAATAATTAAAAGTGCACAACTTTCAAATAAGAACTAAGACTTGCTGGGGTAACCGTTAGCTGAAAGCTACAACATAGCCTCTATTTTAGGTACTTGGAAAAACACAATTGAACTAGTATCCCAAAGTGACGGTACATTCAGGCATCTGTGCAAACTCAACGGTCACAAGGGTGGGATAACAACTATGGCATTCTCTCTAGATGGATTCAGGCTCTACAGTGGCGCTAGAAAGGACAAAGAGGTCATTTGCTGGGATCTACGAGTAAGGCACAAAAAACTCATCATTGTTACATGATCCAAGGAAATCATTTCAACACTTTATCAGCAATGTTTCTCATCAATTTCCTTTTTTAGGTGCCTGGACGTCCAATGTTTTGTGTAACGAGAGAAGTGAATACAAACCAGAAAATAAATCTCGACTTGTCTGTAGATGGGAAATGGTTGGTTTCTGGGGGTACCGATGGTAAAGTACAGGTTTGGAATGTTGCTGAAGAAACCTATCCTTCTGTTCACATGCAGGTACGATTTTTTCCATCTATTCATTGTGTGTGAGTTTATGATTGAGACATGGCAGGTATGTGCAGTGTGGCGAGTAGTCTTTGACGAAAATCAAGATGTATGAGGGTGGTTTGAAAAGTTTCCAACGTAACAAAAATACAAGACGTTTGAAATAACATAGCTTGTTTTACAATATCACCAAAAAATATATGGATATAGAAATGAACAAACAAAACAATTTCATTGATTAAGTTGTGTTAAAACATTGTTTCTGTTGGGTGTTGATGTCGTACTCTTTCATGGGGGTTTCTTGTCACAGCATATTTTCTAATGATTTCTACATTGTCGTCTTTTCTAGCAAACTTCTGAGTAAGTGGCGGTAGTCTTTCCACAATAAGGATAATACCAGTGAACTGGTACAGTAGAGGGTTTGGAGAGTTGTGTTTGGGGTTATTGGGATGCCTTAATCTTGTTATTCAGCTTATAGCCGCTGTTTCAGATACTTAAATTGTTTTCAAGGCCCCTTGTTTGGTATTGAGAAACAGTGGGTGCACGAGTATTCAATGAGTGGACGACTGATTAGTTTATATATTCAGCTTGCTGTTGTTATGTTTGCACCTGCTCCCGGGTTTGTCAAACTTGTGAAATGTGCGGCTCTTGCAATCACTTTTTTTTGTTATTGACGTGACTGTTGAAACGTAGGAACACCTACGTAACTAATTTTCGATTTTGAATATAAGATATGTTGGAAAACGTTGATTCTTGGAGAAGTTGCGGAATTCCGATGATTAAATATGGTGAATTGAGATTTAGATGGGTTTGGCTGGAGCCTCCATTTATTGAACCATTTATTTGTTTGAATTGGAGAGGTTATATGAAAATATAACCTCTTCAATTCAAATAAGATTCCTCTTGGCTGGGATTAAATCCGAAATATGTGAATGAGTGTCATTACGATGACATAAGCAGATCAAGCTTATTCCGTGACATTAAAAATCGTTATTCATGAATGAAGTGTGTGTTTTTTCTATAATGTTATCCAATTTGGTACTGAAGAGCCTTAGGGCAAGTGTCTTAAGGCGAAACATCGATGTATACCAGTGAGGATGACAGTGTTCCATATAAGTGCAATTTGTTACCATTCATTTAAAGTAGAACTCATGTGAATGATATCTGATTTTTATTTCACAACGAATGTTTGAAATACAAACTGAGAAGAGAAAAGTATCTTCTGTATAATTCAGTGTTCATATAGAAGTATTTGTTTCGAAAGAATTTTTTTCTTTCGTGTAATTAAATGTTTATATGAAAGTAGCTGTTTCAGGAGGACTTTCTTTCAGTTTGTGTGTGAAAGTTACATCTTTGCATGATCTACACATCCATGTATAGAGTTACTTATTTTCAAATTGATTACTTCCTTCCTTGCTTTGGAAGATTTCCTCATCCTTTTTCGTATCAAGATGAAGTAGTAGAAAGCCAAAAACTTTCTTTCCCAAAAATGTATTTGTTATTGTTGCAAGATGTTTCAAACTGGTAAAAACTTTGTCTAACGTGTGTCATCTGCATACTGGAGAATATATGCTTCATGCCTGAAGTGGTTGATATTCCCTTGTTGCTGATGATAAATATCAGAGCTGTATAAGTTATATAACAATGGTGAGAGCGGTGAGAGCTGTGGAACTCCCTGCTCTGGGATAAATTTCTCATAAAAACACACAACTCACTCAAATGACTTGTTACATAACAACTGCGGTGAATATTTGATGAGTAACTATCAACAGATGAACAACAAAACTAACTAGCTTTTATTTACGAGTGCTGCCATCTTCATGTTGAGGTCCTAAACTTTTCAGACCACTCTTGTATAATCAAACGATAAGCAAATACTGTGACCCCAATTTGGAATGTATTTAGGGCTTTGGTGAAAACAAATGATTGGCAGAACTTTCCGATGGAAAGTAAAAATGATATTCGTTGAGCACAGAATTGAAACACCATTTAATTTTTTCAAAAAGGAAACTTCTTTGAACTTTTACATCTTATTATGAATGATTGATTCCAATTAAATGGTTTGAATGTGTTACATTTCTATAAGGATTAGACAATAAGTACTTTGTGGATGAGATATGAATGTCAAGATCTAAAAAAGAAAATGAATCATTCTGATTTTGTGAAAATCCAAGTAATATAATTCAGTACTTATGATCAGAGATTTTGTTTCTTCTTGGTAGTTTTTCTCAAGGAATGAATCATTTTTTTTATTGAACCAACTGAAATATATTTTTTTTGTAATAAGTAAGCAATATTTACAGGATCTGTTAAATCTATGTCACCATTTCTTGACCGAGGATTTTAAACCAGGATAACTTTTTTTCATTCCTTCCTAACAATCGTTTTTTCCTAAAATTCAAATTTAGACTAAATAAATTCGTAGACAAGACCAGAGGAACAGTGACATTTTCCTCAATACTCAGCTATTGGTAAATGTTGTTCTCATACTTGATTCGTCATCTTTAACCGATTCAATGTTCCACAGATGAGTTTACACAACGATTGTTGTAATGGGGTTAGCCTGCACCCCTACAGACCTATCCTGGCTACGGCATCGGGGCAGCATCACGCGATGGATCCCATGCATCATACTAGAAATACTACGCAGTACGAGAACTCTTTATGTATGTGGTGGATTGGGGCACAAGAAGAAGATCCTGATCTTCTAACTGCCATTATAAAGGCTGCAACCAACTCTTAGTATTGGTTAGCCTAGCTCTCAAATTATTTGTATTATTAACACATTTCGAACACTTTTTCAATAAATTATTGTATTTTTCAAATCTTGCTTCAGTTCAACGCAGTGAAAAAATAACTTGTAATGTCACTTCAGGTGATTCATTAACGGAGTCTTGGGAATATCTTCTTTTTTGACTAGTGACTGCCCCAGATTCGCAAGATAGTAAGTAGAGCATATGCGATGCAGACATAAATAGTAATAATGATAATTATATTTATTTCTTTGGTTGAAAAATACAGTTGAAAGAAAGAAATCAATGCACAATAACAAAGAAAATGTCAAGTTCAAAAGTAAATACAAAAAAAACAAATGTAAATAAGTACATTATAAAAGTCAGTCAAAACAATATAAATAACACAGACAGTCCAAAAGTATTGATAAACATCCATAAGTAATAGAAATAGAAGTATAATTCTAAATAGTGGTAGACTATAAAAGAGTCAATAATAAGATAAACAACACTCAATTTCTCAACACTCTGTAATTCAAAGTGAAACACTAACCAAATTTGCTAAAACTGAAGATCTCATTTTAGTTCTTCTTCTTTTTTTTTATGGTCTTTGCTTGCCTTCAGGGCAGTAGACCAGTCTCCTCCTAATGCATAACAGATGTTATGCAACAGTCGCTTCGTTCGGGGACGTGTGTGACTTGCTTAACGCAAACTACGTCTGTATGTTATTGCTAGAGTGGAACTACGTCAGTTGTAAAAAACAGAAAGTTTCATTTCTCTTTTCTTCAATAATTTTCATTATACTAATATTTAAACTTCTCAGAACTCTAGACACGTTCAGAGGAGCTGTTATTCCTTTCTGTATAAATTGATTACATATATTATTTTCTGGACTAGTAGTAATCGGACATGATTAGTGAATTCTTGAATGGTGTAACAAGTCCTTTGAAATAGCATTTTTTTCAGCTGACTTTTGGATATTTGGAGAATTCTTACCCCCCTTTAGAGTTTTGAACGGAACAAAATTCACCTAAAAGTGCATCATTTTCAGTACTTTATGGTAACAAAGAAAATAATATCTTATCACTCGTCGCTGAAAGAGCGACGAGTAATAACTGCCCGATTCTTTTCAGTGGTTATCAATCACAAATAGATCTTATTTTCTAAGTATGGTTTTTATATTCAATGTAATGAAATTTATTCAACCTAGGTATTTCTATATTTTTATTAAAGTCCGTCAATGTGACACTACAATACAGTGTTGCCAACTGGATCAACTATAAAGTCGCTACACATAAAGCCAAATTCCACTATACTGCTTGAAATTCCGTTACGCTTATATATCTGACGCAAATCAGTTCGCGTATGCGTCCTATCCAAATTAAATACCACAAAACTAACAGCTTATGTACCGTTCAGATACAGAAAACTGGAACTGTCAAGATCATGTTCACTTTCAACTGCGCAACTCAGTAGATGGTACTTAATTTTTTAAATTCGCCACAGGTCTAATCCATCCTTTCAAGTTGGAATCAGACAACCAATGTCGAGAAAAAAATATTCTCGAGACTTTTCTTTTGAACATGTTCCGTTTCTGTCAATTTCAGCAGTGGTAGATCTATCATACAAGCTACAATCAGATGAACTATCTCCCATTATCACTGTAGTTTATTCCATATAATTTATAATAGGTACTCGAAATTTTTGGTTTCAAAATATTGGAGGTTATATGATGAAAAGTATTAAAAAATCGTCTTCTTCCATCATGTAATGGCCTCAGCTACCAAGACTTATGTATTGACTGTACATTCAACTGGCAGCTTTCAGCTTAAGAGTGCTGTTCACTAGTTCACTGCATTCACATTTGGGCTAGAGTAACAATAAAACAAATAATTTGAAGATTTCAATCTATATTTTCCAAACCAAATGCAGTGTCCAAGATATATAAAATTATTTGAAAACATTGTGATTCGTTCCAGATACTTTAGAAGTGAACAAATGCTTATGTAGAAATATAAATGAGAAGAATTGCAATAAAAATGTAGTTTTAAAAAAATTATCACAATGATACAGAATATAATAACAATTATTGTGTTTACAGCGTGCATGTGTTATACATGTTTGGTAATTTCATCTTGAGGTAAAGTATCAAACAAAAGTTCAATTTTGAGAAGTGATTTGTTATAACTCTGTATTTGATTGAAAAGGGATATTATTTCAAATATAAGCATATATTTATCAATTCTCTAAATAAAATTTATAATATACTGCACTAAAACAAGCAGTTGCTTTTTATGCTCGAGTAATTCTGATATACTGTATGTTTTATATTATTAATTTGCCATTGTTAAAATATTATTTGTTACACAAAAACTGAACGTTTGTATGATAATTGATACAAAATTTCAAGCTAGAAGGTTTTTTTTAATGGAAATAGGTCAACAGTCGTACCAGTTGAACCTAACATATTCCAATGAATTTAATCGTTCCAGATATCTCCAGGCCACATCCAGTTTTGGATAGGGCAGTTTCAGTTGTGTGTAAATGAAAAGCAGACAATGTTCCTGTAAATGAAAAAATGTCATTACTTCTAATGTTCAACCAAAGTTGTAGAAATGAAAAACCTCCCATTAACGTAAATATAAAATTTACCTAGGTTGAATAGTGGTTGGACTTCCATTCAAACTGTGACAAGAAAAAGAAAACAAAAAGAAATATATTATCAAAAACCCAAACAAAAGATGATTGTGAATACTAAAAGGCCACTAGTATAAGTTGAAGAGCTTGAAAGCTTTTACATGTAAATACTATGACTAAGTAAACCGAACAATACCTCAAAATACTTTAAAACTATAATTGGTTACCAGAAAGGGATGAATGATTTTTAGGCATTCGATATCAGTGGAGCCTGAGAAGCGTCCTCTTAAGAGGCCAAGCATTTTGAGAAACTTATCAACAGTGGTTGATATGTGGGGCTGAAAAGCAAGTGAATTGTCCAGAAGTAATCCCAAGTCTTTTATTTCGGTAACATTATTGAGTGAGACTTGGTTTATAGAATAAGAGGATGTTAAAGAACTATGTTTTCAGCTAAAAATTATGGTATGGCATTTACATGCATTAAGCTCCATACCATTGATTAAACACCAAGTAGAAAGTTCAACACAGTTGTCTAGCGAATTGATTTTCTTGGGAACGTTCAAATCATCTGCGAGCACACAAATTCTGCATTAGAAAAGCAGTATTGAATGTCGCACATAAAAACAGCAATGGTCCCAAATCGGATCCTTGGGGCACACCGGACAGTACTAAACTTCCAGAAAATTTAAATCTGATAACTAGTGTTATCTGTATCCGATTAGAGAGATAACTTTGTATTTAAAATAGGAGATTGCCACAAATTTTCATATGTTCGAGTTTTCATATTGTTCGGGTATGGTTGACTTTATAAAATGCCTTAGAAAAATGTGTGTAAATGGAAGAATTGGCCACCTATGTCCAAGACATTTGAGAGATGATTCACAAAGACAAGAAGAAGATTGAGCTCAGAAAACTTCCCTGGGCAAAATCCAAATCGTTGATTACAAATAGGTCTAAGAATAATTAATGTTAGGTGTTTAGTGATAAGAAAATATAACACTTTGGGACTTTGGATACAAATTGCTCAGAATTGTGTATTTTCATTGGGCAACACCTATTTCACTATACAATAGTTTTGTACATACACGCCTGAAGAAGCTATTCAATCAATCAAACATTTATTGAAGAAGTTTTCCTTCACAATCACATTAGATAAAAAACATAACATCATCATAAAATACTGGCTAATTCAACAGGTCAAACAAACATAAAAAAAGTCAAAATAAAACATACAATATACATAAACTAAAAGGAGAAACTGATGCTCATGAGAGTAGTATAATTTCTACAATAGAAAAATCTTGAGCCGCCTTTTAAAGATATTGATGTTTGAGGATTGAATTTCCTCATTAAGCGTATTGTATAGCTTAACCTGAATGCACATGGGGTGATTCCTTGATACTGTCAATCTACTAAAAGGTTGAAGTAGTTGAGAGTTATCTCTGGTGAAATGTTCATGGATTTGCTCATTTTTAGGAATAATTGAAATATTGTTTTTTATATATATCAGAGTTTGGTAGATATACAAACTAGGCATTGTTAATAAACTATAACGAATGAATAATGGCCTGCAGTGTTCACTTGAAGATGCACCAGCCAGAATTCTGATTAACTTTTTCTGAATAACAAAAACTTCATCAGCTTCAGCTGACAAGCCCCACTGTTCAAGACCATAGGAAATTACCGACTGAGTTAAACTGTGGTATAAAAACTTGAGAACATCAAGAGAGACTGTTTGTTTCAACCTACGAAGTAAATATATATGTTTACTGAGCTTCAGTTTGACACTATCAACAGGGAACTTCCAGGTAAGTTTATTATCAATATCAACACCTAAGAATTTAGTTGATTATTAACTTGATGTAAAGTTTCATTATTTAATCTAACCAAAGAGCTTTTATCAATTGTTGTATTTTTAGCAACAAAGTTAAGCATTTGAGATTAAGCAGAATTTAGCAGCAGGTCATTTATAGAACACCACTCAGAAATTTGATCAGTTACTTCATTAGCTTTGACAATTACTTCGGACATAGTTCCCGCAGATAGTAAGATGTTAGTATCGTCCGCAAAAATAACAGTAATGGAAGCTTTTCAACAAAATTTCGAAAGATCATTTATAAAAACCAAAAATAGAAGGGGTCCCAAAACACAGCCTTGAGGTACCCCTCTTGATACAGATTTTCTGTCAGCTGGTGTGTGTGGTAAGATCCAACCTAATTCAATAAAGAACCACGTATACCATAAAACTGCTATTTGTGTATATGTTTTATGTGTATATGTTTTATTTGAGCAAATGCTTTGCTCAAATAAAAAAAGAATCCTAAAGTCTGCTATTTGTTTTCCAAGATTTCTAGCGCGTGTTTAATGACTTGATCAATTGCACCAGCAGTAGATTTATTTCTTCTATAAGCATTCTGACTAGAAAAAAATAATCTGAATGATTCAAACTAATCATATAATCTTTGTTAGGAATCACACGTTAAAAGGTAAGACCTCGTTAGTCCTCAGCTCGCACAAGTTTCTCAACTTCTGAGAGTTGTCGTTTGTATGGGGGCGACAGCTGATTAACGGATTAAACACATTTTCAAACAGTATTCAATAATCTTGGAAAACTGAGTAAGTAGCGATATAGGCCTGTAAGATGCACAGTCAGATCGAGAGCCCTTATTTTCGTATATTAAGAAAACCTTAGACATTTTCAGTATATCAGGAAACCTGGAAACGTAACACAGTGTCAATGGAAGTACTGAAACTACTATATTTTGGCCTTATTCAGTCATGCCTGTCATATGGTCTGATTTTCTGGGGAAAAGCCCATAATAGTGGTCAATTATTTATCACTCAAAAAAAAAATTATAAGGTGCATGCTGAATTTATCTAGCAAAACATCTTGTAAAAACCACTTTGTTGAGCTGGGTATTATGTCATAACCAAGCTTGTACATTTACTCAATAATTGTTCACATCATAAATAAACATAACTCTCTCAAAACAAGAAAGGATGTTCACAATCATAATACGCGGCAGAAGGACACCATCAATTTATGTTTCTCTAGATTATCAATCGGACAGGAGAATATAGGAATCAAATGCTACAATAAAATATGTGAAATTAAGAAATTTAGAGAACTCAGCACAAGTTTATTTAAAAATTATCTAAAAAAGTTTTTAGTACAGAAATGCTATTATTCATTCAAGCAAACATTACCTTTATCCTAGTTGTTGAGTTTCTATTTTGATATCTGGGTAACAAATTTTGTCCTTAATTTTCTTCAGTTGTTTGAGATGGCCTTCCAGAAAAAATTGCATCAATCCATTCCAACAAACTCTGTAACAAATTTGGTTCTGGATTTTCTTCACTGATTTTTGAGATGACCTTCCAGAAAAAATCGCATCAATCCATTCAACAAACTCACTGTTATTTCAAGTTAAATTTGGTATATCTGTTGCTTATGTGGCAAAAAATTCAATAACTATGAAAAAATACAGTATATCAATCCATCAAAAACAACTACTTTCTGTTACTAAGCTTCGAAAAAAGAAGAAATAAGTTAGTAAGAAGTATAGAATATATCAATAAAATTTCACTGAGTATAGTTAAAGACCGTAACCCGGGGATAGTATAACTAATGCTAAAATAATTATAATGAGAATAAAACTGTAACAGCTGAATTTATACAAATAAACTGTATGCGATACTTTCTAGTTGTTCTCAGATAGAAGTTTGATGCATCTATCAATCTCCAGAATCTGTTGAAGGAAAGCTGCGTCTCGAAGGATCATTCCTGATTTTTTTATTATATCCAGCAATCTGAGATGTGGCAAATCCAGCTGATCATTACAGACAGACAATTTTTGTAGTAGATCCTCATCAATCTAAAAAGAAAACGATAAAGTACTAATCCCAAAACTGAAAACTCCTTCCATTACCTTTGGTTTCATACAGTCCGAAAACTTCAGTTTTATCCTCTGTTTTCCCATATCCTGATAAAATATTGTGAACTCATCGCAATTTGGTTTGACCTTGAAATATATTCCAGCAATCAAATCCCCTTTCTGATCTCGTGAAAGCAAACTCCTGAAGTCGTAGGCAATGTTTCTTCTTTCAGTAACATCTACTGCCGTTAGATAGGGCCTCCGCACATAAATAGCTCCACTGAAATTTTCCTCTTTACCATTTCTGGTTGCTCTTTCGGTCCATTCAACAAAGTTGGCGTTGTGAGGATACAATTGGTAGTTATACTCCTTCCTGATATTATTTTCCTCCGACTGAATGAACCAACCTACAGAAGAAAAGCAACAGTTAATACGTAAGATATTACACGTCATTTCATTTCCTTAAACTTTGGAATTGATTTTGGGTCCTTTTTTGAACATACTTAAGATTGTATAATGGCAAAATAAAAGTCGTTGGTCTTTTCATTAAAGCCCAAGGAACAATTTCCAAATTTTTTGTTAATTTTGGCAACAGTTTGAAACTTCTATGAAAACTAAATGTACATCTTTCGAAACCTTGGAATATTCAGTTGAAATTTCAAGAGCACATATTTATTCACATTGAGTGGTTATTTTTTATTATTGTTACGATTTGTACTAATGTATTTTCTATTTACTATTTTTTACTTTTGTTATAATAATAATAATAATAATTTAAGATCATGCACATGATATTGTCATAAAATTTATATACACAGACATATATAAGTACACGTATATACATACGATAAATAAATAACTATATTACTTCACCTCGTCCATACAAACAAGCAATCAACAAATTAAAAGATTATGAATTAGCAAAATATTCACTCATGTCATAAAAGCAGGATTCCACTGAATATTTTTTTTCATTCTTGTTTTGCATTTATTAATATTCTTTTCGTTTTTGATATCACTGGGGAGATGATTGAAAAATCGTATTCATTATACTTAGGACTGCTTTCGTAAAGTGAAGTAAGGTGCTTTGTACTTCTAAATTAGTGTTTCTCAAAGTGGGCGATAACGCCCCCTTGTGGGCACTGGAGGCCTGTAGGGGGGGCAGTAAAGGGCACAGAGAAGATTGGGGGGCGTTGAAGCGGTTTAGAGAGGCGATGGCTAATTTAAAAATGTTTTTTGCTTTTAACACAAACTTTACCGCTCTTTTACGCTCAAGGCGCGTTTCCTCGTGTAACGCCATCTAGGGGACTAGACAGTAACTATTTCCTGTCCGGTGGTTGTCAAACTGTACAATAGATGGCGGTAAGCTTCAATGCGAAGCAAGAAGTTTCTAGTCTCCATTCTCGAAAGTACTAGGCCCGCCCGCTGCCTCATATCAAAGCGCGCGCGCCATCCAACTAGTAATGTCATTCGACGATATTACGAAAACAAGTGAATTTAGTTGGCGACTAGCTAGGTGAAGTGCTGTACGTGCAGTGGTGAATACTGTGAGTGGTGTCATTAGCAAGTTTTTAATACGCGATTCACGCGATCCACAAATCCATCTTCGCCTGTGTGGCTTTTCGGTCAGAAAACATTTTCGAATGAAGCGATGAAACCCTCAAGGCTACAAGATGATTCGAATAAAATGCATTCAGATAAAAAACACAAAAGTGTAACTTATTTTCAAAAACTGGAAAAGAAACGCTCAGCCCAGCCAACTGCATCAAAACTTTTTTCAACGGCTTCTAAGCAAGACGACGATGGACTCCGAGCTTCCTACAATATCTCCTTGCTAATTCCTCAAACAGGTAAACCTAACACTATTGGAGAGGATTTAATTTTACCGGCAATAAAAGAAGTAATAACTACTGTGCTACATAAACCAGCGGCAGATATAATCCGAAAAATTCCTTTGAGCAATAGTTCCGTGCAAAGACGAATTGATGAGATGGCTGAAACACTGAAGAGTCATTGTGCAATCATCTGAAGACTTCTAAATTCTCAATTCAGTTAGATGAGTCCACTTTGCCAACCAATGAAGCATTGTTGTTGTCATACGTGAGGTTTATTAAAAATTTGAAAATATATCAAGAACTACTATTTGCCAGAAATGTAGAGACGGATACAGAAAGAGAAACCATATATAATACACTGAAAACATTTTGTGATGAGAAACAAGTTCCACTGAAGAATATTATATCAGCTGCCACGGATGGCGCTCCGGCTATGACAGGATGTCACAAAGGCTTCATTCATAGCATACCTAAAAAATAAAATTCCAGATGTGCTCTCTGTACATTGCGTCATTCATAGGCAACATTTGGTTGCGAAAAATTTGAGTGAGCGCCTCTCTCAATCAATGCAATATCTCATCAAAGCAGTCGATAAAATCCGAAACAGCTCTTTAAATGACATATTATTTAATCAGTTTTGTGTTGTAACTGACTCGATTTTACAATCTACTTGACTCTATAATAGAGTTCTTGGAAAACAAAGACAAAGAATTGCACGACAACCTCATCACTTCAAAGAATGATATTGTGTGCTTGACAGACCTGTATAAATTATTTAATGATGTCAATCTTCAACTTCAAAGTGACGACTTGAATTTGACTGAAACAAAAAATGTCATTGCTGCTTTTGTAGCCAAATTGCTCTTATACAGGAATAATATTGGCAGACGTGAGTTTCGCAATTTCCCTAATTTGTCAGAAGTATCCTTCAACAACGACGACTTGCATGTTTACTGCCAACATTTGGAGAACCTCCACAGTGATTTTGCAGAAAGATTCCAGGAAATTTTAAAATTTGAAATACCGGACTGGGTGTTTGATCCTTTTCCAAATGTTAGCACAGCAGGATCACCCCAGCTGTAGGAAAAACTCATAGAATTGATAAGGAATGAGGAAATAAAAATAAGATTCAAAAATGGATACCAAGAATTTTGGCTACAAAAGCCAATCCCGCAATTGTACCCTAGATTGTGGTCCATCGTTTGGGAGGCGCTAGAAAATAATTAATTCTCGAAGCGGGCGGTAGACAAAAAAGTTTGAGAACCTCTCAGTCAATCAAACAAACATTTATGTCACCATGTCTCGTAACATAGTTATGAGTCAGAATTTTTTGAGATACTCGATGTTGAGTTTTAGATATGTTACAGTTTTATAAATGTAATTCGATGGTAGCTTCAGTAATTTAAACTTTTTAAAATGATTCATACATGTCATTCGGTAATCTAAGCCGACGAATCAGTCTTTTTTGACTAACAAAGTATGTTTATTGCTATTGTTAGGATGGAAATTAAACAAGCAAATTTGTGTTGTAACTGACTCGATTTTACAATCTACTTGACTCTATAATAGAGTTCTTGGAAAACAAAGACAAAGAATTGCACGACAACCTCATCACTTCAAAGAATGATATTGTGTGCTTGACAGACCTGTATAAATTATTTAATGATGTCAATCTTCAACTTCAAAGTGACGACTTGAATTTGACTGAAACAAAAAATGTCATTGCTGCTTTTGTAGCCAAATTGCTCTTGTACAAGAATAATATGGGCAGACGTGAGTTTCGCAATTTCCCTAATTTGTGAGCAGTATCTTTCAACAACGACGACTTGCATGTTTACTGCCAACATTTGGAGAACCTCCACAGTGATTTTGCAGAACGATTCCAAATGTCAAATGTCAACACAGCAAGATCACTCCAGCTGTAAGAAGAACTCGTAGAACTGATAACGAATGAGGAAATGAAAATAAGATTAAAAAATGGATACCAAGAATTTTGGCTACAAAAGCCAATCCCGCAATTGTACCCTAGATTGTGGTCCATCGTTTGGGGGCGCTAGAAAATAATTAATTCTCGAAGTGGGGCGGTAGACAAAATAAGTTTGAGAACCTCTCAGTCAATCAAGCAAACATTTATGTCACCATGCCTCGTAACATAGTTATGAGAGTCAGAATTTTTTGAGATACTCTTGATGTTGAGTTTTAGATATGTTACAGTTTTATAAATGTAATTTGATGGTAGCGTCAGTAATTTAAACTTTTTAAAATGATTCCTACATGTCATTCGGTAATCTAAGCCGACGAATCAGTCTTTTTTGACTAACAAAGTACGTTTATTGCTATTATTAGAAAGAAAATTAAACAAGCAACCTACCAGTATGTGGATAACATCCATCAGCCATGACAGTAACAACCCTGGCAACGTGATAACCAGGATCGCACAACATAACCGCAGTGCGCCCAGAAAATTCTACTTTCAAACACATCAGCACATGTTCTTTTTCCAAAGTGTGACGTGCCGACATATGAGAATCGAGACGATAAGAAGATGTGTACACAGACATGCTGTCTATGTCCTCTTCGCAAGACACAACGCAGATGTGACCTCCGATTCCAGGGTATTTGTCTTTTAGTTCGATGCTGAGGCGGTTCCAAAGTTCAAAAGCAAGTCCAACGCAGGTGTGATGATCCGGGGTGATTGGCGGGTTGTACCTGAAATCAGTGTCTCCTTGAAATTTTTGCTCTCAGTTACATAAGGAATAAATGAAGATAGTTTGTCCATCATTATACAAAAAATATGGGAAGCTTCTTATGAAAGGAAGAAATCAATTGACTTCAATTCAAACTATTCAAAACATGTATTGTCAGAGATAAATATGCTTAAACTAAATGTCATCAAAATAGGACTTGTGATTTTTAAACAAATCAATCAACTGCGAGGAATCTTTATTTGTAAAATTCCAAAAGAAGTCTATTCCAACATCTGATCATACTATCACGGCAGATGCAACCCTCAGTTGGTAAACCCATATAAACTTATTAAATACGATGCTTTTAGTCTGTGGGTTCTTCAGTACACTCACAAAAAATATTCATTACTCAAAAAAGAATTCTGAGATGTATCCTAAATCTAGATCAAAGAGGCTCTTGTAAAGAAGAATTTTGAAAATATCACAATCTTCAAGAAGTTCAAAGTTCAGTCGTTTCTTACTTGAGACATAAACGCTTCTATTCGTTCAACTGCTGACTAAGTTGAAATTTGTTACGAAATTTTTTAATACAAATAGCTATAATATTGTTTATCATGCTTTAAATAATTTTTAACTGTAAACTGTCGATGATGAAACATTAATGTATCTTAATTTGAAAATTCAAACATTGCTGAAATCAGTACTTTTCTAGGTTTAATGAGGGTTAACTTCTCGAACGTTTGACTTTTGCTATGTCTACTGTAGATCGTATTGCAATAAAGTTATTATTATTTTCAAAGATGAGGACAAGTATCTTCAATCGAACTTTTTAATGTTCACTAGTAGTCTGATTGTTTTAACAAAGTAAGCAAATATCAATACTCTTCAAATATTATGTTGTGTAGAAATCCTGTGAATTATATCAGTTTCAATTCCATCACGAAAGTTTGAAACACTTACTGAAAAGAAACAAATTTTTGGGTACTTTAATGTTCACTTCTTTGAAAGTAGTTGTTTCAGATGGATTTTTTCTTCCACTTTGTATCAGAAAGACTCTACTTTGTGAAGGGTTTTTATCAAAATGTAATTACCCCTTTCCACATTTTTCATATAATAAAGGAGAAGTAGAAAGCCAAGAAGCTTTTAAAAAATCTCTCTTCCGCTTTTAGACATAAAAAGAAAGTATACTCACGTATGGAAGAACTCAAGTACGCTACTACAATCGCTTTTCTTGAAACTCTCGTAGAACTTCAACCAATTTCCGATGGTATCGTAGTTGTGTTCTTCCAAAACTTTGCGCAGGTGCATCTCAATTTCACAGGCCAACGACTCATACTCCCTAATAGATTTCAACTTGTAGGGCTCAATGGGGTCTTCCTCCCAATTGGGCAGCGGTAGTGGATGTTCAATGGGCCATGGTCCGTTTTCTTGCTCAAATTCGATGAGTTCTGCCAAGCTGTTATTACCGGCGCTGTTCGATATATCCCCAGATGCCCCGTGACAGGGGTCGGTTAACCCTAGGAGGGTGCCAGTTGAACAGGAGACATTTCCGTGTTCGAGTCAACTTGGCCATTCGCAGCCCCAGCGGCCGACGGTTGGTTCCAGGGATCTAATAATAATAATCATTTTATTTTCATTTGTCGTTTTACAGGTTTCAAAGTAGACACATTAACCTCCACTACTAATTGTATCTTGAAATGTGAAAACAGAAATTCACTAGTCTTCGCGGCTTTTTCACTAAGTACTAACCTTCAAAAGAAATCTGTTGAAATTTCATGATATTCTACTTATAAGTTTGTAAGTTATTTTGCTAAAACTTCTAAGATCTATCTACTACATGGACTGAAAAGTCTCGGGCTTAACACATAGATAACGCTAGTCTTAGTGCATTCACCGCTTTTTCAGTTAGTTCTAACCTCCAAAAGAAAGCTGCTGAAATTTCATGATATTCTACTCATAAGTTTGAGTTATTGTTCTAAGATCTATTTTGTCAGGTGCACAGAAATAACTTTTTATAAATTGCATTAAGTTTCACTATTCGAAATTACGTTCCTTTTGGAATTCGAAGGTTAGGTTAGATGTTGAGGATACATATTTTTTTAAAATTCTAAAGTAAGGTTACACTTAGTTAGGTTAGGTTAAGTTAGCATGTGACAAATTATAAAAGTTCAATCTAATTTCAAGAAACTTGGCAATAACTGAATGAAAAGCAATAGAAAAAAGTTCGATGATATGGAAAAAGATGTGTTGAATAAAAAATATGTGAATTGCATTCGTTTATTGCTTAAAAAAAAGGTAAATTATGACATCATACAAACTTTGACAGCTATATTTCGAAAACAAATTGAGTCCGACAGAAAATAAAAAGCGTTCTGAATTACTACCATCACGTAGTATCATCACAGAAAAAATCGCGAAAATCCGTGAATATCCCATAAAGTAAAATTTTCCCAATTGAAAGTTGCATATTATTTTCATTCAAAGTAATTTGAAAGTGTATAAATGTGCGGCACATTTCAATAAAATTCGTCCGGACTCACAACCGATTAAGACAGAAGTCTATGTTCACAGTTTCTATCCGAGGAATAATTCTAATTGAGGATTCAGTACCTCCTTTCTGACAGTTCCTAAGCAGACAAATTACCTTGAAAGGTACTATAAAAGTGAAGGCAGTTGTGTCATACTTCAACTTTCTAGAAACTCACCTGTCGGCACTGATCTCCCCTGTGGGGAGAATGGGTCCAGTAGATACGGCATTCGACAAAGACTTGTGCACAGCATTTTTATCAGCTGTACACAAAGACTTTAACGGCTGTATATCACGCTCTGAAATCAAACAAATCGATAAACTTGAGTGTCAAGTTGTGCAATATTGAGTAAACATAGATATTCACATTCGCACAGTCAATTGTTTTATCTTATAAGTGAACTGTTCTATTACGTCTCAGTCTGTTGCCAAATGAATTGCGCAGTAACAATGAATAAATATAGGAGTCTAGATTTTATCAGCTGTACACAGCTGAATAAACATAGATATGTATGTTGTATCGTAGCATATATAACATGTATTTACATTCGCACACTCAATTGTTTTATCTTATAAGTCAACTGTTTTGTCTGTTGCCATCTAAATGAATCACGAAGTAACAATGAATAAGTACAGGAGTCTAGAATTCGAGTTACTCCTTCGTGACGCGGGTTTTTTTCGCAATCATTTGAAATGACTAACCTTGTAATTAGTATAACTGCCATGACTAAATTGTTTTTGGCAAAATATGTTAACTACGCGGAGCTTTGGTTTAAAGATGTAGGTCAGGATAATCATGTATCAAGTGTTCAAATAGGTATATTTATCAAAACCAAATAGACTTTCCAAATTTCGTAACGTCACGAATTCGTTTGAAGTTCGCCATAAACAGAAATGGCCAATATTTTTATCAGAGCCATTGCATGTTCAAGGACTTTGGCTGTTTGAATAATGATTAAAAAAGCAAATTCATTCAAATAGCGAGCAAAATGTTTGCTTTGTTTTCTCGTTCAATTAGTAACAAAAGACAATGGAGTGGATACAAATAATATATTGAGAGTTTGCAAAAATTTCTGACTAAAGTACTCCAATTGAAGGTCATTTGTAGGGTAAAGGATCTCATTGTCTATTGTCTATATCACAACACTTCAATTGTACTCACATCTGATAAGAATGTAGATATGCAAACAATTGAAACTGCATGATGCAGTTTCAATTGTTTGATTGATTGTTTGATTCAATTGTTTGATATCGTCGCTATCCCTCAAAGGATAGCCACGATATCACACTCGAATGCGAAAAAACAAATGTATGTGAGGTTAGGATCTTTACTTCTGGTGGGTTATCTATTTTAAAATAAAACCCAAACTTCAAACCGACTGAATATCTGTGTGACTAAGTGAAATGATTTCAATAATTTTCATTTTGGAATTATGTTCTTATAAAAAAGTGTTTTTTCTAGATGCACTATATTAGTTTAAAATTTTTAACTTTATCTTATTACTCTCAAGCCAACAGCACTTGAGGCTTGATTATTTCCATAGAAATATGAGCAAGTATAATTCGTTACTCATTTTATTTCGTTGATCTGTGAGTCATTTGAGTATGAAATTCGGGTCAGCAGTTTATTTGTGATAAATAGCCTACTGAACAAAAATTTATGTTTTTTATGTCTACTCGGTTGTCCATTCAGAAGTTTTTTTGTATGCATAGTGCATCTAACTCAATAATTCGAAGCTATTTATAATATTAAGTCAAGGGTAAATGTAACTAACTATATTTCATTTCCTGTTAAATAAGTGAAGGTCATCTTCTGATTCAATCATTACTGGAAAAGATCAATTGTAGGAATATGATGCAATATTATGTCAGTTAGTTTATCTGCTCGACTATAATTTTACTTTTTGAAACATGATTTCTTGATAAGATATCAGTTAAGCGTGGCTTTTTTGAAAATTCGTCGCATATTTATGAGCATAACACCTTAGCTATTTATTCGTCCACATACTCATATTGTAAAAAAGATAAACACAGTAGAAACGTACGACTAGAAAAATTGACGAAGATATCGATGAACAGTAATAATCTAAACAAACCCAAATTGTTATAGTTTTCGTTATAGTTTGTTGCCAGAAATATAATTGAGGTAGGCAGGTATGTTTTTCCATTTTCAGCTAACATTACCGATAACATTCTATTTATATGATTTGAATACTTCGTCAGCGGTCACCGTCTTCAATACGCCTTTATTCAATTCCTTATTTAAACAATAGTCACGTTTTTAGCAAATGGAAAGGATTCTATACCGTTCAAACGAATATTATTGCTACAACAAACAAGTTCAAATTATTCGCCAGAAAATCTATTTTAAAAAAAGAGCAGATAGAATCAATACAATAAAGAAATCTTTGATGGGAGAACATATGGCAAACCCTGCCAGCTCTTCGACTATAAATAGTTCTGCAACCTTACCTACAGAAATTATTGAAACAAAAGAGTACCTACTTTGAGTGAGAAGGCATATTTCCGGTACAGCTGTTTCATGCAGAGTTGCCAATTCAGCATCAAAAGCATTGACTGAACTTTTACTGTATTTAGATTCATTGCCATTTCAAGGAAACATTCATTTGGAAATATTTTGTGAAAACAATCAATAATTTATAGTTTTCTGATTGATTCGGCTGTTACTTGGTGAAGATTCATAGTAATTTAATGAACAAAATCAACCTAGAGTGAAATTGATAGTATTCGTTCTGAATATACAACTCAAATTCTAAACTTTTACACACTCCAGTATAATATTAACTGATGTTCAATGTTCATTCCGCGATCAATTTTTAAATGAAATTAATCCTCACATATTTCGAATACCCGCGCACAAATTCACAGAAAAGTTGGGGGATTTCCTCACAAATTGGCAACAATGTACGCATGCCAAAGAAATCGTTCATACAAAAATGAAACACCCGTTTTTTGCACACGTCAAAGGTACCTACATATTGTATATCAAATTTAGTCAATTGACAAATTTGAAAATATCCACTATCTACAATTTAGTAACTTGATAACTTACGGTCAGTACAAATAGGGTTAGGATAGGTAATTTGAAAAGCCACTTACCCATACAATGGTGACGAAACCAAACAAAAAGGAATAGATACTTCTTTCCAACAAGTTGCTTGAATGGATCAGATTCTAATATTTATAGGTATTTCCGACTGAACGGTAAAACACGTTCCGTCCCCCACTCTTGTGACGTTACTTAAGTGGCCTGACGTCCGTAAAGGTGTGATTTCTGATTGGCGAGAGTTCGGAATTTGCACTACGTCACACTCTTCTTCCCTGTTTCAGGGAAACTGAAGCAATCGTCGGTACCGAAAACTTAGCACTCTGTATTTAACCGGTACACAGTCTGGTAATGATTACTCGAATTCACTAAATGTTTATAAGAACACCAATTCAGGAAAGAGATTAATCTCATTATGAACAACATCTGAAAAAAAAATAATGGTTAGAAACAAGAGGAAGAACAATTTGTACGAGGGGTGTTGGCTGCCTTTTTTGGCAACTAAATTTGGGAATACTATCCACGATAATAATCGAGCAATTTTCAGAAATAAAATTTTTATTGTAGACGCGTTTTGCTAATAGTCCAGTACCGATTATTTCGATAATCGGAGTCAATTCCATATGTAAGGGTTGCCAAATTAATTGTACGGGATCATATCAGGAAGTTGGTCAAAAGAAACCATAAATAGTAATGAGAAAATATACCTGGGAGTCTGGGAAAAACTTCTATAAAGGAGTCTTTTGTGAAACGAATTAACAATAAATTGATGGATATAGCCGTTACTACGTGGTAGAAAATCATAATGAAGAAAAGAGAATTTAAACTTTCTATGTTTCTTACTACCACTTTAATTTGTAACTGACGTTACTGCAGTTTCGTCCTATAAGGACTTTTCAAACTTATACATTAAACTCAAACTCAAACTTATACAATTAAATAACTGCTAGATTCATCCAGAAAAATGGCTACCTGCCTAATTGGCGACTCAAACATCACAAACAATCTGCAAAGTCTGGAATACCTACTGTGTAGGGAGAGATTAATATTTCGAAATATTAATTTCCTTATACCTATGTATCTTTCCTCGATAGTTTTCACTTTTGATATGGAAAAAAGGTTGGGAACATCCGAAATACTGAGAAGAAGAGGTTCGCCTAATGATTGGTTCAAATCCTATGTCAGCAATGTAAAAATGGGAGAAGGATTTTCTGATCGATTCGATGTGAGTTTAGGAATTAGAGAGTGGAGGAGAAGAATTACATAATGAGGTCGAAGTTAGATGAATAAAGGAAGAAGGAACTTATGGAAAAATATAGACTACCAAAAAATTGCACGGCTTTGAATCCCCTTGAAGTAAATGAAATTCTGTTTAGTAACTTGTCATATAGGTATTCCATTTTATAAAGATACTCATCCAATGTAAATTGATACTTTTGCACTGCCGCCGATCTCAGAGAGTCTCAAGAATGTTTTTGCAGTGCTAATGCATCTCTAAAAAACTTATCAATTTGCATAAACTGAGAGTCACTTCCTACACCAACACAATTGTATCAAATTGAATAGTAACAGCGGGTGAATTGAACACAGAAAACTAGGTTGAATCTGCGCTTTTGTGAACCGAGCTCATTTCGGCGAAGAGGGCTTGTCTCTGACATGTTACAAAATTTCACCTTGAACAACTAACTGTCTATTGCATATTGCAAAACTTCTCTTCGATCTAGTTGGCAATGGAAATGGTGAAGGTTCAGTCGAAGTAAGTTCAAATCAACTTTTGTGAAGAATGGAAACAGTATTTCAACTGTTTTTATCACTTTCAGAGATAGTCTCATTATCACAATTTTTATCAATTTCTACTTTCTATTTTCGCTTAATCTTCCAAATTATCTAATGAAAAACTCGTGATGCTCCGTGATGAACCAGTTATTTATGTCGTATAATAATAATGTTGATTATTATGGTAACAGCCGCGGATTTGATTTCATGGAATTTATTATAGTCACAACCACTAATGAAGTAATCTGCTGATTTGGAAATTATCTTTGACTCACATGATATGGATATTTGCTGCATCTCAGAACAATGGCTCAAATCGGAGGAGATGATGTCATTCAAATTATATGATTTTTTCGTAGTAAGTAGCTTCTGCCGTGAAGAATCTCAACACGGTGGTGTTTGTATATTTGTGAGAGCGGAATATGGCCCAAATTGTGAATCAATAACCCATACATACATTGTTCAGAAACAATTTGAAGCAACAGTAATCTCTATAAAACTCCCAGTCAGCAGTAGCAAATTATACAGTGCATTTCTTTAATGTCCCCCCCTTTTATTCTTTGAACGGGTAATGAGATTAATGCATGAATAGGGGAGACTGGGACAAGATGAGATAGCTAAGACAAAACTCGTTATACAAGGAAAATAAACTCTTTAATAACATTCTTTAACAAAAGAGGTAACCATTATACACTTCTCTCTTATAATTAAACGTTGTAGCATGCAAAATCACAGAACTTTTTTTGGCAAATAATGAAAAAATAAACTCGGCAAATTTCCCGTTTTGCCCCATAACTGGGGTAAGATGGGAAACGCTGTGGGGCAAAAACGAGTACGCTTTTTAATCGGGTAGACAGCGTTCACAAATGTGTGCCTCTTCATCTTCCTCATCTACTCCGGCACATGAATTATGCGCCCAACCGTGGCACACGCCGCAGATGACCCAACCTTCGGTTGAATCTGAGTATAAGTACCCACAATAGATGCAAGCACAGTCATCATCCTCTTCTTGGGATGAACTATCTTCCGATTCAGTTTCTTTTTTGCACCTTTTGGTTTGACGCTTTTTCTGCAGGTTTTCCTTGTCAGTTGTCTTTTTAATCTTCTTTGCAGTCTTTTACCAGGTTTCTTTATTTGTTTTTTACCTTTTTCAGTCACTTGATTATCAGCCTTGATTATAGTATGCCCCGATCATCTTGCCAAAAGATGACGCAATTCTAACCTCAAACTTTACCGGCGAAAAAATCTGGTTTGAATTTAATGTTTTGGACTACTATAATAAGCTCGGGATTGAAATAATACATGTCTGTACATCAGTTTTCGAATTAAATATCGCGTAAAAACACTTGCAATATCACTTTTTTCTCTCTGCAACGCAAAAACGAGTTCTAACCTGTTCCCTCTGCTTGGACACACTAGCGGAGAGTGAAGTTCGTGCAAATGACGCTGTCGCCGCTCCGAACACGATTACTATTCACGCACACAGGCTTACTTCCCGTGCTGCCCCGAACTTCATCTTGCCCCGTTCTCCCCTACTTGACAGATGAAACTCTTAAGATGGCGACTGGGCGCCATCTGGTAAAAAATTTAATGGAAAAGGGGGTCTTGTGACATATCATTTTGAAGCTCCTGACAAATACCTCACAACCCTAGAATATGAAGTCAATATCTTCACCTACTATAAAATGGCGGAACATTTAATAATTTCCTGAAGACAAACACATTTATGTCGATATGCCATATTCTGCCATATGGCAATTCCAACAACCCGATAAGGTTTGTTAAGTTATTTTTTGTTTATTAAAACGACAAAAAATGTCAGTGTGATAATGAATATCATTGTTCAGTTAGAATAATCTCATTTAGTTTTCGGTTTTACTAGTAGAAAGGTACCACGTCAACAATCTCTAAAATGGTCAATTCTCGTCCATTGGAAGAAAAAATTGAAAGCGATTTTTATTTACGGTGCGACGCGACGCATAACTTTTACGAGACCGAATTTGTATACAATACAAAGCTCCCAGGTCATCCGTCCATTCCGGAAGAACAACAAGTGCAAATAATTGGTGAGATGGTAGTAAAACCTGAACAGTCTACTTATTCCGTCGTGAATGTTTGTGAGGTGTTTCCTTATGGTACACCAATTAACTGAAGATGACCCTGATCGTAGAACAGAATTCTGCGAAATCATGACCGAAACCATTGCAAGACATCCTACTTATCTCCACAATATCTGTTTTAGTAACGAATGCACATTTTTTTAAACGTCAATGTTCACAGACAAAATTGCCGTTATTGGAGTGACACCCACCCTCACGTTTTCCGGGAAACACATACCCAATACCCTGAAAAAATTTACGGTTGGGATGAATCAGGAAACCATATTGTAGGAACTCAATTTATTGATCAAAATTTAACAGGGGAACTGTATTTGAATATGCTGGAAACTACTGTTGACCCTCTCATCACTGAAATCGTGAAAGCGAATCCTGATAAATTCGATATAGATATTGTATTCCAACAAGATGGAGCACCACTACATTACTCCAGATAAGTAAGAAACTATTTAGATACTACTTTTCCCGGTCTTCGAATTGGCCGTCGAGGTCCTACAGAATGGCCAGCCCGCTCGACAGATTTGACACCTTTGTACTTTTTTTATGAGGCTACTTGAAGAAAAAGGTGTACGAAACTGAACCTGCTTCAATATTGGATATACGGCAGAGAATAATAAATATTTGTAGTTCAAAAATGTTCGACGTGAAATATCGAATCACATTCTTTTGAATTCAGAGTAATTTGATGAACCGATTTCTGCATTCAATAATTGGTTTCTCCAAAGTATATTTAATAATTACATGAATCGTATTCAGAAGAAAAGTGACACAACTCGAAAGAAGTGAATTTACAAGAGAGTCAATTGAAAATTGACTCTCTAATTGTTTTCCACATGTTCAGATTTCAATAATATATTCTGAGTTGTATCACTTTCTTCTTATTGAGCGATATGGATGATAGCGTACGTTTACGCTTGAGGAAGTTATTATATAGCGAAACACGTAAGCTATTGTATAACTAAACACGTGTCGTGATTTTTGTAAAACCCTTTATAGTGAAAATCATACAATGAACTGTATTAATTAGTTTGAATATTGTATAACCGTTTCACATTTGTTGTATATTTTACATTATTGTTTTATATTGATGTTGTCTTGCACTATGACACACTCGAAATAAGAGTGAATTCTCCTCTCGAGTATATTTATGTTTCATGTATATTTTAAATGTTGACTCATTTTTTATTCTATCTCGAAACATATGTTAACTGACTTATCGCGTATCATCATTTATGGTTCCGGAAATATATGTCTGAAGGACTAGTCATAGGAAAATTGAGCAAGAATCTAGGGAGAAGCACATCAATACGTATTCAAAGGTTCTATTAGATAGAAATTGTTTGATTAACTTCCTGAAATGGAAGTCATTTATATTGGCAGATTTTATGTCCATAGGCAAATGATTGTTCACTTTTCCACCGTTGTGAAATATGGAGTCTGTGGTGATGTTTTAGTTGCCACAGTAAGTTTCAGAGTGTGTCTGCTGTTTCGGGTGTTATAACGGGAAGAGGATGCAGCAAAATTTAATATATGCT